GCCCTCAAAGGAACAGGCTGAACGGTATTTTTCTTTCCAAAGAGCTATAAGTCCATGGTATTTATTAGTAGGAGAGGAAAATGTTGGCAAAAACTACTTCCAGGGACCACAAAAGATTAGCTCATCCATGCGAATACAAACCACACAACTTCTTTTCAGGCTACTATGGCTGGGAAGATTAGTTAATGTCCTAGATAATGAAGAAACAGAAGGTTAAGCAGAAAATACCGGAGATCCTCAACAAATTACTAGCTTGAGCACGGCCACCAAGCCACTCCTCTGTCCCCAAACCTCCAGAGAACCCAGAGCAGGACAGACTCTGGAGCTAGCTGCTCCGTCAAGGGGCATGGACTGAAACAGTTACACAGCTGCAGTAGTCCAAGTTACAGAAATCTCTAATTTTCTAGTGCAGATGAAATATTAAAGATAGGGCAAAACATCAATCGGAAAAAAATGTTGAGTTTTTCATGAACGTTTCTAACAGTCTAACAAGTGCGTGTCTACAACTGCTGGTAGCTAAGACTTGTAGCAAGCTCTTTTGCATCTGGGTGTAACACTGCTTTAAGTCATTGTGAACATACTACATGGGATACAAAGATTAGGAAGGAAGAAATGATATAAGAATGGATACAGTTTATAAAAATACAGCAATAAAAGGGCTTTTTAAAGTGGAAAAATGAAAACACCAGAAAATACAATCTGTATTTACAGTGCACATCTTCAGTAACTGCAATGTTTGTTTATATAAAACAGATCGTCATTGTGTACATACTACACGGGATATAAAGATCAGGAAGGAAGAAATGATATAAGAATGGATAGAGTTTATAAAAATACAGCAATATTCCGCTTTTTAAAGCGGAAAAATGAAAAAAACCCACAGAAAATACAATCTGTATTTACAGTGCACATCTTCAGTAACTGCAATGTTTGTTTATATAAAACAGATCCACGGGTAAGAAATATTAGCCCTAACAGTCTGTCTATGAGAAGCAACTGACTCCCTTTCCTCTGGTATTTAAAAGCAACATAATGCTTAAAGAAGCAGGAACAGAGACACAGTATATTTGTTGTTTAACCTGCATTGCTCTTAAGATCAAAACCTTCATTAAAAGCAAATGAGAAGCTGAATCCACAGTGACTTTCTGCGATGCACAGATTTTGTCACAAGTTGCTTAAACAGGTGCAATCTGCATCTCATTTGGGTTATGGGCATGAAAAAAAAAAAATCTATTTTTTTTTATATATATATATACACACACACACACACATACATACACATACATATACATACCTGTTGTTTTAAACAACAGTTGTGCCCCTGATGCAAGATTTGTAAGTAGTTCCCTGAGCAACAGCTGTAAGGAGCTGAAAAATCATTTCTGATTTCCAACAGTGCAACTGAACTAAGGGCACAGGTTCCCCTTAACGCAATTAGTGAATTTGTGGCTCCATCCTCCACCCAACCACTCATTCTGCATTTAATTTGTAGGTACGGGTCTTCTATCTTCTTGTCATAATTAGCCAAAACTGACAAATATGTTAAAAAATGATCGGCGAGAGTCTGCAGAAACACATGTGTGGATGCAAGAGGCCTTCACAGAAACGACACGCTAACCAAGTTACACAGGAAATAACTAATGTTATTTTGTTTTCATTTAATTACTTAGATTTTCAAGAATAAGAACTACGGATAGGTTTTCTTTCACAGACTTCAGAAACCCCTACTCAATTTTTTTTCCAAGGAAACTTATAAAACCACCCTTTGTGTTATAAAATTTCTCAGGAACGCTAAATTCTGAATTTGGAAACCTGTTTTTTTCAAACTCATTTGTGGCGATCTCTATAAAATCTCAAAAGAACTAAAACTCTATTTTCCGTTACGCAAATAAAATTACAACTGCGGATGTTCACGTATAGTATTTCACCAGAAAATGTCTACATTTTTAGTAGGGCTGAAGTAATGAGCTACTTAATGACATGTCGTTTTTTTAAGTCATTTTGGTTTCTTGCCCAAAAACTCTTTTCAATACCGTGGCCACCCCACAAGTAAATTTATTCCACAAGTGAAAACTTATACTTCCAAAGATAAACTTTCATCTCTCTTGCGGTAAGCCTTATGCAGTATATCAAGAATTTTTAATAAATATACATCTCTTCATCTTCTACACTTTCTGCATATTATACAAAATATTCTCTCTATTAAATACAGATTTGGTCGGTGTTTTCTTTTTCTTCTAGAAAAAGAACGGAAGGAATATCTTTCCACTGACAACCTCGAAGAAATTCGAAACAAAAGGAAAAATAAAAAATCCTTTCTATTGGCTTGAGCTTTTCTAGCTAGGATTGGCAAAAACAAGGCTGATGACATCGAATTTTTCATTTATGTTTAAAATAATGCATCAAAGTATTACCACTCAGAGCAGAAGCAAACCACATTGTTAGGAAAACAAGTTAATTTAGTTCTCATGCTAGCGCTGCACTCAGTTTTTGGTAGGTTTTATGGAACAACGCTTCACCAATAAGAACCAGATGGGCTGGGGACTGGGAAAGCAAAGTGGATGTGGCACGGCAGGGCTCTTCCCAGTCCTCCCTGACCACTATTAGGGATGAAATCCCGGCACAGCTGAACTCAACAGTTCTGCCATCGGGCTGAACATGGCCAGGATCTCCTCCTCGAAAGGTCCAAGTCATCCACACGCTCGCTCACAAATTCATGAACAGGCTACTGAAATCAAATTTCATTTCAACTTACTTATCTGCAGTGATGACACACTAGGTTATTACGGGAAATCGTAATTTCTGGACCAACATTGTTACTACTACATTTCTGCTTCATCATTTTTGCCATTTGTTGCCACAGGTTTCTCTGTCATCACTGACAGCAAATCTCAGTAACTATTAACCTTCAGGTACCCAAAAAAGTACGCTCAGGTCAGACTCACACAGGGTATGTTTCTTCCAGAAGGGATACACAATCTCCAGTTCGTTATGGACTGGTTCCCAAAAGAAAGCAACACACTTGTCAACGTGAAGAACGAAGTTTCAGATACCTGGATCCCCTCCTTCCAAACCATGCTTAGGACATCAAAGACACAGAGAGTGGTTTCCGTGTCCACCATTCCAAGTGATGCTGCCACTTTTGATCCACTGCTGGTCCGTTTCTGCCGTTGCAGACTTTTTCCAACTGCAGGAATCGCTTCTATAATCCAATTTCTTCATGGTCAGAATGCCTTACATAAATGACATAATCCCTAACTGGAGCATTCAGTCACACGAGCGCATTCCTTCCCCACCACGACATTTTCAAAAACCTGTTCTTCCTGCACAACTCGTTACAAGCTCACACGTTTCACTTGTGCTCCCAGACTCACGGGACAGGGAAAAGGGTTGCCAGTGACTTGCTTTAACACTGGGGCAAGGGGAAAAGGCTGTTCATTACTTCATGTTTCTAAAAACTCTTGTCAACAAAAATCCATTTTAAAAAACCACAGTGGAACAAGGTCATTTACATTGATGCCATCAATAGACTAAAAGGTTCTGGAGATCAAAATTACTCTGAATCGTAATCTCCCTTAAAAATACACACGTATTTGCAGTAGAAGCCTGAAGTCTTCCACTTCACGTATGTAACGAGACAAAAACTGGCCTAATGCAACCAACTGAATGGGTTGGTTTTGCCCATCAATCTCCCCAAGACAGCCAGAAAACCACTGGAAGAAAAGCAGGTCAACAGGACTATTTCCTCGGCTCAGTTCAGTGCAAGGAAAGCGCAGCAGGCTCATCATCAAATATTCGTCACGTTTTCTTCTCTAATACACACACACATTGCCCTAACAGAAGCATAAAAATAAAACATCAAATTCTTCAAACACTATTCAAAATAAGCTCTCTCTGGCTAGGTTCTTAAGCCTTAATTGGCATTTCAAATTGGCAACTGCATACAAAACACTCTAGTACAACAAATTATTCCCACTCTACTAATCCACTGGTGACCTACATAAGATGTGACTATAAAGAATCTTTTAACAGCAAGATCTTTCTGGTATATTTAAGATTTAGTTCAGTTAGTAAAGTTGGTCATTTTTACGCTCTCTTGATTCCACCCTACCATTTACATTTGCTTCCTCTTCACGTACACAGCAAAGGGATCACACAAGAGCTCTAACCCCTGAGTGAGAAGAAGACTCCTCAAACAGCGAAGCATCTACCTCCTTTACCCAAAAATATTTCCACCAGAGCGCACGGGACAGACCTGGCTGTTCTCAGTGTATTCACCAAGTAACCCTCTACTAGAAATCACTGTATCAGACACATACGTCCACATTCTTCTTTTCACTTGCAACTATGGGCTACGCCTACTGTACTCAACATGCAAAACGAATTTGATTCCTTTTGAATTGTGAAATTTGTTTCTTCAATATAAGTAGTATGTGTTCATTAGTGCGTAAGAGCTTAATAACCAACGCTCAGGCACACTGGAGCCGACAGAATTACGTCTGCATCATATGCATTCCTGTTATGAATCCACAGACTATGACATTTCATGGCTCCTTCAGCAGAGATTGCAAATTTCCTCCATCTCAATGTCAGCAAGTCTTTTGACATAACACATATAAGTGGGAATTATAAAAGTCAAGACCATACTGTTGTGAACACTTGAGCAATATATAAATTCGTGTAATCTGGTTTATTATTTGTCCCATTATCTGAAAAAGTAGTATTTCTCCAATATTTACTACACTCGGTGTGCTCACAGCTGGTAGCTGCAAAGAAATTTGAATTCAGATTTCGAGATGGAGGGATTTCTGGTGCACACCCAAAAAAACTAAACCAAACCAGCCCATCAGGATTCCTCCATGAACAAAAGCTAACAAAACATCTGTCTGGCACCAACAACACATACCCCATTCTTACAAAACGTAGTATAACTGCAAGTAGCAGACAGTTTCTGCCTTATCTACCCAGAATAAATTCAGAAGTTTCAGTGTTATACTCACAGCGAATGCCGTAAATCATGAGAGGATCGAGTTGCTTCTTCCCGTGCTTCCCCTGGCCTGAAAGGTTGGAGATGGCCTGAATTTCCCGATGGAAGAGATAATCGAGCAACGTAAGTGCCATTTTCTCGGCCGTGCGGCAGTTTGTGCTGATGTGCAGCATGTCAGCAGGGGTGATGGGGCAACGGACCCGCATCTCGGGATTATTCTCATCTCCAAGCCACGTCCCATTGGGGTAATCCTCTAAAAACAGAGAATGTGGAAATTCTGATTGTGGCACAGACTGAAACAGTCAGGTTCAAGCTACAGTTAATATTTCTTAAGTTATCACAAGCTCTTCCAGTTTTCTTGGTAGTTTCCGTAGACTTCTTTAAAATTTAGCATTATAGGCTCACAACATCTGCTACAGGTCAGAAGTCGTTCTCAAATCCACGCGAGCTGTGACCAAAAGTTATTGCCATTAATGTTCTGGCCTACAGGAGGAACTGGTGCAATTAGTCCCCATGTCTAACTCATTCCCAGGTATCTTTTCAGTGCCTCAGACTAGAGAAAACTATATTCACAGTGTTCTCATTCGTCAAGTTAGTCATCCCCTAAAAACGAAGATTAGTGCAACACCATAATGTTCTTAAAGTACAGCTAATTTCAAGCAGTTAACAACTTGGAACCACATTTTTCCCCAGAAGCATCAGATGAAAATGAGCCTTAGCAAGATTATAAATTTAAGAAATTATAATCAATGGTGAGCAGTAACTTCATCACTTAAGGAGTATTTCAGGCAATGACAATTATTCAAAAGGTGTCTGGAAACAGCAATTTAAACTTTGGTCTTTCTTCAGATTTACTGGCCAGCAGTCTACATTATTTTCTAAACACGCAGTTCAGAGAACAGGCCCAGCATAAAGATAACGACTCGACTGCTAATCACCTGCCCAGAGTATTTTCCCTCCTATTCAGGTATAAGGCCCTGAGCAGCAGAACTATACCTGGCTTCTACTGTGTATACACACACACACACACACACACATCTCATAAACAGAGTTTTTGGATTTCTGCCCCAGCCTCTCAGTGTGGTGGGAGAAGAGCAATTCATTTTAAGCCCTCACTGGAAATCAACCTCTCAGATAATGCCAAAAAGTTTGTGGGTTCAAGACTAACCAGAAAGCAGAACAGAGCTCCTAAGGACAGCCAATCCCTCCTGAAGTGGAGAATACAACACAGGACCTAAGATGAGACTCTTACTCCAGATCAAAACAAAACTTCCAGTACAGATCTTGACAATGCTGATCGGAACAGGATCAAACAACATTCCAGTACTACTTTGACGTTCCCTGACACAGACCATTTGGAGTGGATTTCTATGTTTGCTCAACTTTGCGGAGTAAAACAAAGCTTCTGGATTTAGGAGTCACTCAGCCCTCCCATACTAGAGCTTTAGAGTACTTCACTGTTGTTTCACACACCTTCAGGAAGTAAAAATGTGAACAAGCCATTCAATTACAGGACTTTTCTTTCATTAAATGCCTTTAGAGTTTCATGGCGTATTCAAAGTCACAAATACCTGGCTTTCCCTAACCCTTCTAGTCCCAAAAGAGGGGGACAGAGCCCAGACAGAGGAGGGTACCCTTTTCATTTTGAACAGGACCCCTGAGCAAGCAGCATCGTCATTTCCAAGTGCCGGCGCAGGATAAGCAGCCTGCATTTCGCTAGACTACAAGCCAAAAGTATGCAATGAAATATAACATAAAAGCAACTCCAGCACTAAAAACCACTTTTCCAACGTGACCTTCAGCTTGAGTCGTACCACATGTCAGAGGCGAGTTTGCGGCAATGAATAATGTCAGCATGAAGCAAACGTTAGATTACGCAATCCTGATGTATCGTTATAAACATCAGATTATCAACTGTAATAACTTGTACGGAAAAATATTTATTGCTGATGTTCGTAGCAGCTACTCCCTCAAACATGTTTTCTGTTGAAATCCAAACTTAATGCCCTGCTCAGAATACACTTTTTTATACACTCACAACGTTTTTAATATATATTTTACATGAACCTTCCTTTTTATCCTGAACTATGTAAAGGGGCACACTAGCTGTTTTCTGCTCACAGTACCAGGTGCCATGTGAAAAATAAGGTGGTTCGGATTAATTACGACTTGTTTTGAATGCCACTGTGTCTGGCCTCACCACAAGTCTGGTTAACATTATCAGGGGAAACAACAGTCAGTTCCTGAAGATAAATCAACTGTTTTATAAAAATTTGGGTAGAGCTAGCAAAGCAAAAACATCTCTGCACATCCTATCAAAATCTTACTGCCTTACCTGGTTCAGAATTACTATTTAGATGTATTAGAGTTATGAAACACCTTTCACCTGCAGTCTTGTTTAACAAATACTCTAAACCTACACGAACCAAATATTCTTTTCAATTTGCAAAATAAGTTCTTTTTTTGGTGTTTTTTTTTTACTGGCACAGAGTTGAGAACATACTGTCTTTACCACATGTAACTGTTCTTTTCTTGCTGACAGCCTGGAAAAAAAGACACTATCTTGTTATTCTGACCTATGAACACAAGCCCCACATTATCTCTTGCAAGTTCCTCCTGCTTTAAAGGACTCACTAGAAAGGGAATTTTCTTTATAATCATTTCGCATGAAGTGGAACTTGCACGACTGAGGTTAACCATGACTCTACTGTCCTCGTTGCAGCTACTTGAGGGCACAAAAGCAAAACTATTCCTTATCACACATAAAAAGAATTCTCACCAGCCGACCACCACGACCGGCACTTTGCATAGAGCAACTAGGATGAGACTGGCACACAAAAAAACAGGAAAGAAAAGGACGTATGGTGCCAGTTACGAGGCAGGCAGAACTGCTCTGGACAAGTGGGGTGGTACGGAGAAGAGAGACTGAATAAGAGGAAAAAAAAAATAAAAGACTCATAGTTTGATGCAAGCTCTCTCTGAAGAATTAAGTACGTGAATACTATGGATTAAAGCTGCATTGTCTGAGGCTCCTAGCACTCAAATATCCTTTTATGCCAACTGAAATGGTTCTTTACATGTATTAGCAGGCACTATATATAATATTTAGCTAGAATCTAGATGAGTCAGGTCATTTAGTACCTACAGATACCGAGTCAGGACTCAACTAAGCCCAGCACAACCCCACGCAGCTGCTTCTGTTCCCTGGTTAACATTATCGGGGGAACCAAAGGAGACCAAAACACAAATAACCCGTGAAGGGATGGAGGGGAACAACACAGTCAAAGAACAGACTTTTCTTAAAAGTACTGAAGCACAAATGCACACGCTTATCTGTAACTCAATTAATCACACACCTTTTTTTTTTTGCCCTGAAGTATTTTTCTTTAATTTTCCTAATGGCCCTGCTGCATTCTGAATGCATTTTGAGTGCTATGCAGAAAGGTATTTCCTTGCATTTCTTTATGCCAAATATTTTATGATCAGAGAAGTGGCTCTCGATCATTTCCACTTCCAGCGTTACAAGTCTTGACATTTTCATCCGATTTCCTCTCTGTACTCAGAAGCTCATTTCCATGACGGGCAAATTTCTACCTCTTTTGCAATGTTTTTGGGGTTGGTTTTTTTTTTTAGAGATCAGAAAATTTGCCTTTTATCTCCATTCTGCTGAATCCAGAACTAGTTCGCTTTTCCATGCTCTCTTCAAATCTCTTTTACTCTATTAAGTTCATTTCTTTTATCTCGTAACGCAGCTGACCAGTCCTCTGTTTCGGCAGGGCCGTGCAAGCAGACGGGAGGCAGCTGGGGCTGCCGCACAAACAAGCATTTCTATGGAAACCGGCCGAGCGTGCTTTAAGGTCAGCATCAAGAAAACCTATGTCAAGAGAACAAAAACCAGACAAGAGTTGCCGTAGCTTTCAGACTCCCTCTCAATGCGTCTGTGTGTTCTCCCTCCCAGGGAAACGACAGATGCTTTTGGGGTACGCTGCCCGAGGCTGCCGTGTGAGCAAAGCTCTGCTCTCCCCAGGTGCCCTCAGTCACAAACAAAAGGAAATACCTGCCCACATAAATACCTGAATTAGCACGGTCCATTATTCTAAGTTGTTGTGTTTGTTTTACTAACAAGGCCGGGCGCAAATATGGCATTTGCAGAAGAGAAGAACGACTGGTAGACACAGTACAAAGGCAGAAAGATGAATTAACCTTTAAAAAAAGGCAAAAGCAAACCCCTCAAACCCTAAGCTACGAAAATAAACCCTTATTTCTTGAGCAATTAAGTCTTTTGGGTAGAAAACATCACCTTTTTAAATAAACTTCTGTCAATTAGCCCAAGTCCTTTGGCCCTGCAAGAGCTCATGGGGCCAGTGATTAACTGAGAGACACGACAGAGCACTGACTTTATTAACTAGGACTAAATACAAAGGACAGAGCAACACCTGGGCTAGTGCTAGCCTACAAATCTAGCAGCGTGATTTAAAGCTCGTGCTAAAAGAAAGGCTGACAATCTTGCTTTCAGACTCTGTTCACCCCAACCTCCTCCCATCACAAAAAGCCGGCTGGGAGTTGTGGCCAAAGGAAGCGTGCGACACACACGGCCACCAGCATCGGGAACCCCACCCGAGTTTTCACCTGAGCGTGTGGGAAAAAAGGTTGGATTTCTGTGTAAATATAAAGAAGTCAGAAGAATCCCAGACTCCAGGTATGATTTGTACAGCACAAAGGATCTGGCTAACGGAGACACAGTTCCAGTGAACTCCGAAATCCCTGTGGTTAGAGGACCGGTACCTGACACAAGACATTCTGCAAACACACGGTGTGTGTGCAAGTCTCAGAGAGCACCAGTGAGATTATTTCTTTGCTCACACTAAGGCCTCGGTTTTGCACGGTTAGATCCAGGAGTGAAAGGAGAGATTTGCTCACTTCATGACTCAGGGAATTTTTTCAACAGCAGCAGAAAATGAGGACTATGTGATCATCCGTAATTTAAAACAATCAGCTAAAAGAAACCCAGATAAAATTGAGACACTTAAAATCTGTGGACTTAGGCAGGTTTTTAAACCCTTAGAAAATGTGTTCCATGTCAGAAAAATCAGATTTCTAATTTAGATTTTGCCCACTTCCTTGTTTACTGCCTCTTGTCATACTTAACTTTACACAGTGGACCAGACTGTTAATACCAAACATCACAGTGACAGATACCTGGACGAAACCATTGTTCACCTGTTTGCTCCAAATAATAATAAAAAATTGAAA